CTTATACAATATTTGTCCTTTTGCGACTGACTAAATTCACTCAGCATAATGCCTTCCAGATTCCTCCATGTTATACAATGTTCCACGGCTTCATCTTTGTTCTTTATCATTGCGTAGTATCCCATTGTGTGAATATACCATAATTTGTTTATCCATTCGTCCGTTGATGGGCACCTAGGTTGTTTCCATCTTTTTACTATCGTGAACATGGGTGTGCATATATCTATTTGTGTGGCAGCTCTTATTTCTCTAGGATGTATTCCAAGGAGCGGGATTGCTGGATCGTATGGTACTTCTATTTCTAGCTTTTTAAGGAAGGGCCAAATCGATTTCCAAAGTGGTTATACCATTTTACATTCCCACCAGCAGTGTATAAGTGTTCCAGTTTCTCCACAACCTCTCCAACATTTATTATTTTGTGTTGTTTGGATTAATGCTAGCCATGTTGGAGTGAGATGGTATCTCATTGTAGTTGATTTGCATTTCTCTAACGGCTAATGATCATGAGCATTTCCTCACGTGTCTGTTAGCCGCCTGACTGTCTTTTTTGGTGAAGTGCCTGTTCATATCCTTTGACCATTTTTTAATTGGGTTATTTGTTGAAGACCCTATTTCTAAATAAGGTCATCTTCACAGGCGTATCTTTTTTGGAGGACACAGTTCAATCCATACCATGTGGTTATATAAAAAAGAAGAAGATGAAGCTGAAGACAGAGAAGAAGGAGGAGCATAAAAAGCACAAGACATAAAAGTAAACAATCTAACAATAAAGAAATATTAAAATAAATTAGTATAGCAAAAACAAAACAAAAAACAACCCAAATCTGTTGCTGTTGAGTCGATTCTGACTTATCGCAACCCCGTTTGTTACAAAGTAGAACTCCATAAGGTTTTCTTGACTGTAATCTTTATGGAAGCAGACTTGGTAATATTGGAGTTTAGTGGTGGACATGTGGAGTTTCATTATATCATTCTATCTAGAATATGTTTGAAATTTTCCATTAAAATTTTTTTTTTTAAATTTCTACTTGTGGTGGATTAATTACTTTTGTGTGTGGCCTCTGTAGCCATGGTCTTGTAACTCCCACCCAGGTGATTGTGTGATAGGGTAATTGTGGCCTACCAAGGCGATTGGTCAGTTTTGCCTTAAAAGAGAGCCCACTACCACCAAAGAAGGAGAGACCCACAGCAGAAACCCACAGCAGAAACTCGCAGGAGACGGTGCAGTGGGCTTCCCTGCCCACGGAGCGAGAAAGCTGAGTGCTTTTGGATGGAGACTGAGGGCCAGGAAGAAGTCTACACCTGACCCATGAATTTGGGACTTACCAGCCTCCAAAACCTCATGAGCCATTTCCTTTATATGGTCCGTGAGTTCGGTGAGACGTTGCAAGAAATTAGGGAACCCAAAGACAGGAGAGAGAGCACTGAGGTGAGAGGGAATAACTGATGTCAGAGATAACGGAGTGGTACAGCAACTTGTAAAAGTTACACAATTGGGACGTCTTTAACCTCTGTCTCATAGGAACCAGCTTTGCGCTAATCCTTATAAAAGAAATTATTTGTTTACTACTTCAGGTTTCATACATTGAAACTTAGATTCTATAAGACTGTCCTATGTCTTTACTCAATACAGGGAACTTTATTTATTGATGTCTTTTGACCATTACTGGGTTTCACAATTAAGTGCAGAATTAGCAAACTAGAATATTTAGGGAGAGTGTCAAGAAACCAGGAATCTCCAGCATATAGAAGTGTTATGTTGTTCAAAAGCTATTTTTAATAGTAATGTATAAGGGTAAGTTGTAAGCATAGTTACAAAGTAATCTAAGCAAGAAACTTGTTTAGTTAAGTATGGAATTAAATTCTGCTGATGGCTAAATAAAGGAGCAGAAAAGATGGAGTGAGTAGTAAAGAAGAGTGTCTGCAACGGATTTGCATGTGTACAAAGCAGTTCTACTCTGTCCTATACGGTCGCTATGAGTCGGAATTGACTTGTTAGCAATAGGTTTAGATACAGTATTGTGTTGCCTAAAGTTACTGACAAGCCTCAAAGAATCAAGAATGTCCCACAGAGATCACAAGGGGCGCATCACATGTTCACTCGTCCTGTCTCTACAATGCTTGGAATTGATGTCCAAGACTGGTTTGTTAAACTACCTAATATTCTAAATCATTTCACACCTAAGCCTGTGGTTGAGGTAGTGTGGAAGAAGTGTGAGATGATGCTGGAGTGGTGGGCTTGGACCAGGTGGTAAAGGGCCGTAAGGGGGTTGAAGTCCTGTGGTAGTCTTGTGAAGATGCGGCAGTTGGCTTCCATAAAGATCACAGCCTTGGAAACCCTATGGGGCAGTTCTACAATCGTTGGTATGCTTGAGTCCATTGTCGCAGCCACTGTGTATTTTGAGTGCCTTACAACCTAGGTGGCTCATCTTCCAGCACTATATCAGATAATATTCTGTTGTGATCCATAGGATTTTCACGGATCTCTCTTTCTGTCTCTCTCTCTCTCCCTGTCTCCCTTCGTTTCTTGCTTCCTTCCTTCCGCTCTCTCTCTCTTTCCACTACTAATAAGTGACTATATTTTCATTCCACTACTGTCTGTCAGTTTGTCATACTGCGGTGGCTTGCTTGTTGCTGTGATGCTTGAAGCTATGCCACTGGTATTTTAATACTAGCAGAGTCACCAATGGTGGACAGATTTCAGTGGCTTTTCTGGACTAAGATAGACTAGGAAGAAAGGCCTGGCAATCTACTTCTGAAAATTGGCCAGTGAAAGCCCTATGGATCACAACAGAACGTTGTCTCATATAGTGCTGGAAGATGAGCCCACTAGGTTGGAAGACACTCAAAATACTCAGTGGCTGCAACAATGGACTCAAGCATGCCAATGATTTTGAAGATGGCACAGGACAGGCAACGTTTTGATCTGTTGTACATGAGGTTGCCATGAGTTGGTGCTGACTTGGAGGCAACTAACAACAACAACGTATTCTCATTTTAAAGATTGAAACTCACACTAAAGTATTACTAAACAAAAGTGAAAGTCCCCTTCACTCCACTCCACTTCCACCCCCTCCCCAGAGAATTACTGCCCACTGCTTGGGGTGCATCCTACCTCTCTCTCTTCCAGCCCAAAATTCATAGTTGATCTTCAAGATTCAAACCAGAAAAAGAAAAGAGCTCAAATCCACTGGTCTTTCTCTGGATCTCCCAGTATCGTGTGCTTAAATCTGGCCGAGAGCCTAACACACAGTGCTATGACTGCTATTTACCATTTGTTGGTCTCAAAAGATTGCAATCTCCCCATGGCCAAGGCTAACCAGTTACTGTGGAGTTGAGTCTGACTCATGGCCACCCCAAGTGTGTCAGAGTGCGTCAGAGTAGGCAGAGTAGCTCCTAGGGCTTTTCAATGGCTGATTTTTCTGAAGTAGATTGCCAGGCCTTTCTTCCAAGGAGCCTCTGGGTACACTCAAACTTCCAACCTTTCTGTTAGCACCTCAGTGTGTTAACAGTTTACACCACCCAAGGACTCCCTGAATCAATCAGGTCTGCCTTTCTCAGGTCATTCAGACCTCAGAGACATTTAAGGGGCCAGGTCTCTAAGTAGGGGCCCAGTCGTTTCATACAAACTCTAGAGATTCCAGCTGCAGCCTCCTCAGATGAAGAGAAATGCACAAGAAATGGACTAAAGCATTATGGCCTCCTGGGAAAGGCCCTGGACTTGAATGAAAAACTGCAGTGAAGCTGTGGGACTTTGTGTGACCCTGAACATGTCTCCGAGCCTCATTCTCCCCCTTACTCTGACACACATGGGGTCGCCATGAGTCGGAATCGACTGGATGGCAACTGTTTTTTTGTTTGTTTTCACAGAAGCTCATAGTATTGGGTTCTTAAAAACAGTCCAGTTTAGGGGGAGAAAGTTGCAGAGCAAGGTCTGCGCAACTGCCACCTCCTGTGTGCTCCCAAGGCCGGCGCTGCCCGTCCGTGGTGCCCTGGGCACACGCTGTGGTCACTTTATCCGGTCCGCTTCCCCCTCTAGATTGGCTGGAGTTGCGTCTCGTCTCGTCCTGCAGTCCTGGAATGGAGCGCTGACGGCGGAGCGAGCCGGAGCGTGGCTCTGCCGCCCGGCCCCTCAGGCTTCGCCGCCGTCCTGCTGCCGCCCTCCTGTGGCCGCTGTGAGACGACCTCCCGGCCGTCCCGCGGGCCCCCCTCCCTCGGCCGGTGACATCACCGCATTCCGGTCCCCGGCTCCTCCCTCAGCGGCGCCTGCAGCCGCAGTGACAGGCGAGCCGGCCCGGTAGCGGAGAGGAAGGGCGGCCGCCGCGCAGAGTCCGTCCCCGCTAAGGCCGGCTCCTGGGGCGGCTCGGGAGACAGTGTCGCCGCCGCCAGCGCAGCGCCGGGCCGAGCCGAGCGCCAGGCGGAGGCTGCAGCAGAGACGCGGGGAAAATGGCTGATGACTTTGGCTTCTTTTCGTCATCGGAGAGTGGGGCCCCCGAGGCGGCCGAGGAGGACCCAGCGGCCGCCTTTCTGGCCCAGCAGGAGAGTGAGATCGCGGGCATCGAGAATGACGAGGGCTTCGGGGCACCTGCTGGCGGCCAGGTGGCCCCCGCGCAGCTGGGACCCGCGAGCGGGGGTGAGTCAGCGCAGGGCCTTGCGGCTCGGGGCTAGGGCTCACCCCCGGAGCCCCGGGCCAGAGTCCAGGGGCCTGCCACCGGCCAGCCAGGAGCATGGGGGTGGGAGGAGACTGTTCTGTGAGCGGGGGACCTAGGGAACCTGCGAGGGCTCTTCTCTGAGAGCCTGGTCTGAATATCTCCAAGCTGAGGGCTGAGCTGAGGCCCCGCCTGGGCTGAGGATCTGGTGACTCCTGGGAGAGGCATTCGGTCATGACATTTCATCCCCAGGCCAGCTCCACACTGCCAGGCTCTGGAATCTAACACTAGCCCACTGGGAAATTCCCTTCTGAACCTCAGGCAGCCTGGCCCACCCCGGGCTCTCAGCTGAGCCCAGCAGGTGTATGCAGGATGCAGAACTTTTCCACTCCTCAGGTTTAACTCTCATACAACTGGAAAAACAGGGAAGACTGGGTGCTTTGCGAACTCACAAACCTTCCCTGGGGATCACCTGCCCTCCTGCTGCCACGGGGCTAGACACTTTACTTACATGTAATCATTTCATATGCTTACTATACCCATTTCAGGGATGGAAAAACTGAGGCTCAAAGAGGTATACTAGTGGAGCAACTAGTGAGTGGCAGAGCCAGGATTTAACCCTGTTTCTGTCCAACTCCAAGTCCTCTCCACCTGTCTTCCACGTGCCTGGCTCTGGGTCAGATACCCAGCAGGGGCAGGGGCACAGGCAAAAAGAGGCAGCAGTTAGATGTGGTCCTGCCCTCCAGGGGTTTGTCACTGTCTATGTAATGGTTTTCCAGAGGTGGTCAGGGATATTGTAGTTGGCTTCAGAACTCAGGGTTCAGGGCCTATTCCTGGGTAGCACACTTATGGCTGATGCTCCTGCTCTGGTTCTGGCTTGAAGGAAAAATTTCTTAAACATTTGGTAAAAAAAAGTAGATATCACTTTAATGGGTGCATCCAAAACAGCTCTTATTTCCTATTAATTTTGTCACTGTCATGGGTTTTATGGGCTTGTTGGAATAAGTGGTACTCTACATTAAAAAATGTATGTATTTACAAGGCTTTTTATAGTCATGTTTGTATTCATTCAACTGTTTAAAGCATCCGCTATTTGCCAGACCCACTGAAGATACAGACGAAAATAAGACAGTTCCCGTGACTGAGGAGTTTGAAGCATCTCCGTATGCCCTTGAAATGAGAAATGTAATAAGGGAGGCCCAGAGAGCCTGAGTGTCTAGCCCAAAATCACACAGCCAGTGAGTGACAGATCTGGGACTTGATTCCAGGCCTCCCAACTCTGGCCTTCATGCTGTTTCAAATACTGTGGCAGTCTCCCTGGGAGTTGATGGGATGGGGGGAGAGGGATCTTTTGCTACCCAACCAAGCCAGCAGCGGAGGTCTTCCCAAGCAGCAGCTCCCAGCCACTTCAGCGCGGACCCCCACCTGTCCTGATTGCACTCATGCACCAGTGTTCATTTGTTCCTACCTTCTCCTTGAGACCACCCGTTTTCCCAGTCTAGCTTGGTGTGGGGAAGACTCTGCTGTGGCAGAGCTGATGTCAGAACCCCAAGAGAGATAAGGGTAAGGGAATGCAGGCTGAGGGCAGCCAGAAGCATCTGCAGCTTGAGCCAGTTGTGGCTTCTCCCAGGATCCTGGGGCTCCAGGGGCTTACAGTCTGGGTGGGAAGTTCCTTCTCTGGCAGGGGTGGGGCATGGATTGGCCCCAAACACTGGGTGGCAGGAAGAGAAGCCATGGCATGCTCTCTTCTTCCAGGGAGCTGTCAGAGACATATCCTCTGAGGATGGAGGTCTCCCAGCCTCACACCCGCTGAAGCTGCAAACACTCGACTGCCCTCTAAGTAGGGCACAGGGAATAGGCAGGTATTGCAGGATGGCGGCTGAATAGGGATGGAACAGAATGGAATTGATCTGAATCTTCTAGGCCCAGGCGGTGCTAAGCAGGTAATCCTCACCTGACCAGCAATGAGTGCCAGGAGCCTGGATAAGAAAAAATAAAAATAAAAACAAACCAGTTGCCATAGGGTCAATTCCGACTCATGGCACCCCATGTGTATCAGAGCACCACACATAGGGTTTTCAATGGCTAATTTTTCAGAAGTAGATTGCCAGGCCTTTCTTCCGAGCTGCCCCTGGGTAGACCTGAACCTCCAGCCTTTCAGTTAGCAGCTGAGCATGTTAACCATTTGTGCCACATGGGGACTCCTTAGAGCCTACATAGGGGTGGAAAAAAGTGCCTTGGCCTGCTCAGAGCTGGGAAGAAGCTGGCTCTGGAGCAGCTGTCAATCAACATTTTTCTCTGAAGATGTGGGGGAGAGGGATTTCTGCACTGAGTACCCTGATGTTGGGCTCCCAGGCGCCTCCGGTGGAAGGGATTGGGTTTAGGCCTGAGTCCCACGGAGCCTGTTTTCTTGGACTGGAACTGTGGCCAACCTGAGCCATGGACACTTTGTTTCCATTCATCAGCCTTGGGTAGGGCCCAAAAGGTTTACATTTTCACACCCGGGTTTCTCTGCACCAGACCTGGCCCCGTACCTGATTTGCCCAGTCAATTCAGGGCAAGTCTATTTCTCCTGTCTCAGTAAGCTGACAGGAATGTTCTGGACCATCTCCGCCCCTATTCCAAAGGGGATCAGGGATCTAAGGGAAGCAACACTCATGCTCCTGTTGTGCTGGCCCATGATTTCAGACACATGATTATAAATGTGTGTTGGTAGGGGGGATTGGGGGTTCCCAAAGATGGCTGAGACTGAAGTAGGAAGACACCTCATCTCCAGGAGCACTCACAGGCCTGAGTGAATGGAGCAGAGGGACTTCCCGAAGACCAGGGTGGGCAGACGAGGGCCCTGGCTGGGACTGGGTGATATGTGGGAGCGTGCAGCTTCTAGCCCACAGGGGCCAAGCCTACATTCTGGTATCGTGAGGATGGACCCTGGTAGAGGAGACGCCCCAGAAGAAGACCCTTTGCAGAAGGTGCTGCCACTGAAACCTCCCACTGGCCCCGCCCTGATTTAGGGACCCAGGCAGGAGCAACCTGTGGTTCTGTTCAGATAGAGTGAGTGGGGGGAGGGGCTGACACTGACATAGTGGGTCGGCATCAATCACTGTGACTCTGAAAACAGTCAATTATCGTTCATATCAACCGGGAATTATCTCCATGGGATTAGGTATCCCTGCCTCCAGTCACCAGGCTGAAAGCACCATCCCCATTGATCCCAGCCCTATCTGGTTGGGAGAGGGATAGTTGTCCATCTGTGGTAATCCTGTGGGGCCTCCTGCGGCCCTTTGCTAGGAGGTGTTGCAGTTTCTGAGAGGCCTTGCAGATAGCTGTGGGCTCCCAAAGAGCATTTCAACTTCCATTTAGCCAACATTTCTTGCTCACCTATTTTGTGCAGGAGCCCTTAGGAGCTGAGAAAGATGCAGGGCCCCATAAGGGAGCCTATGGCCCTGGTGGGGTCACAAGCAATTACACAAGTGTGTGGTGAATGCCGTCTGATATTCCAGGATACCCCAGAGGGAAGAACTTCCATCAGTCCCCAGGGAAGTAGGGGCAACTTGTGAACGGGGTCTTGGAGAACTGGGACCCAAAAGAGCATCCTTTGGAGGTGGAAGCAGGAAGCAAGGCATGGGGCAGGGAGCGTGTGTTTGGGGAAGGGGGATACCAGAACTTAGGGTTTGTAGGAGGGACTGGTGGAAAGTGAGGCAGGAAAAGTGGGCAGGGCCAGACTGTGAAGAGCCTCCTGTACTCCGCATTCAGCAAATATTTACTGAGCCCCGATTACATGCCACGTACTGTTCTAGGTGCTGGGACAGAGCAGTGGACAAAACAAAGTACCTGCCTTCATGGAGAGGCCATTAAAGTGGGGAAGATAGACAATAAACATATATGCAAATAAACATGTCAGACTTTGGGGAAGGAAGAACGATGGAAGAGACGTGAATGTAGGGAGGGGTCAGGGAAGCCCCTAATCAGGCTGAATGGCGTGAGGGGGTGGACCATGTGGAAATGCATGGAACAGCATTCCAGGCAGAGGGAATAGCACCTGCTAAGTCCCCAGGCTAGGGCCCATGGAAAATAGATTTCTTTGTGGTTTTGCTTTTATTATATTTTTAATCAGAAGAGAGACATAAGAAAGCATGTTTTTTAAAAAAATGTCGGCCGTAGCAAGTGGTTTGAAACAGGTTATGAGAGTGAAGCAGGAGTCAGAGAGACCTGTGGATGGGCAAAAGCCATTCATTCATTTATTCTTTAATGCATTTATTTATTAAACAAATAGTTACTGAGCTCTTACCAAGTCATGGGTACCATGCATGGCTCTGGGGAAGACAGTGGTGAGGAGACAGAGACACGGTTAGCTCTTTCCAGGTGTTTGCCACTAGCAGGGCAGACAGACCAAAACAGTCTTGTGGGTGAGGGCCAGGGCAGGGTTGAGAGAGCACAGGGCAGCTTCGATGGTCTCTGCTGCAGCAGAAGCCACAGGAATTTGTGACTAATCAGATATCAGGGGAAGGGACCGGGAGGAGTCACTGATGATGGCAAAAGAAAATCTTTCTGGGAGGGGCAGAAGGAGAAGAAATAGGGCAAGCGTTGCCTTGTGGGGGCTGTGATTCCTGCTCTCCCAGTCGAGTAGTTGCTCAAGGCACTGCAGGAACAGGAAGGGACTTGTAGGCTTCTGGACCCCGCCTTTAGCCTACTGCTTCTCTGCCTACTCTGCAGGCACAGGCTCCACAGACAGTCAGGGCATTCCCAGCCTTGGCCGTGGGTAAATTAATTTCAGGTAGGTGAGGAGGTGTCACTGGCTGGGTGACCTTTGGCAATCGAGTATCGTCTCTGAGCCTCAGCTTGAGAATCTGTAAAATGGGTTGATAACAACTTCATCACAGGGCTGCAGTGAAAATTAAATGTCATGATGGCTGTAGGAAGACTTTGTGAACAGTCCAAGATTGAGCCCATTATTGATGTATCCATTATGTCTGTATGCACGTGTGCATCAATACATACACGGGCATGAACAGAGGTTAGCTTGCACGCTAACGCAGTACCGTCCATGCTCGCTATAAGCTAAGCAGTGAGTAACTCTGTCTCCTTGTTCTCTTTCTAGCTGGTTCTGAGGACATGGGAACCACGGTCAATGGAGATGTGTTTCAGGTAAGCAAGCTGCTGTCTTAGTGGTGGTGGGGACTGAAGCCTGGGTCTCCAGGATGTCTTGCTGTTGCCTGAGGAAGGCTTAGGGCTGCAGTGATATTGATGCACTGGGATGGGAACATAGGGAAAGGGGTTGACATGCTTTTTTGTCATGTAGGGGAAGGGGAACAAAGAATAAGGACTACTGAAGAGAGGGAGTGATGGGCCATGCCTCAGGGTCCCCAGGGTGATGCCAACTTCGGGAGGGGAAGGTAATGTAGCCCACACTGGACTGAAGGAAACACGGCCCTGCACATGCCTGTCCTATTGGTGGAAGGACAAATTGACGCAGTGGGTCAGATGCTCTCTGTCATGTAAGAGCATTTTATTTATTTATTTATTTATTTAAGCTTGTTGTCTTTTTTTTTTTGTTTTTTTAATTATTTTTTTGTAAGAGCATTTTAAACACGCAGGTCTTTCCATCCAGAGACTCCATTTATTGAAATTTACCCTAAGGGAATAATTGGATGAGGACACCAGGATTCTTTTAGGATTATGTATAACCACCAACTTGTCGCTGTTGAGTCAGTTCTGACTCATGGTGACCCCATGTGTGCCAGAGTAGAACTGTGCTCCATAGAGTTTTCAATTTTTCAGAAGTGGGTTGCCAGGCCTTTCTTCTGAGGTCTCTGGGTGGACTTGAATCTCCAACCTTTCAGTTAGCAGCCGATCGCGTTAACTGTTGGGGCCACCCAGGGACCCTGAGATTATTTATAATAACAAACTGGAAACAACCTAAGTGTCCAGCATTGGGGTACCAAGTAGGTAAATTGGAAAACCACAATGTTGTTGAAAATAACAATCAGAGCTTTCTGTGTTGACATGAAAAGATGCCCACAATATAGTAAGTGAAAAAAGCAGCTTGCAGAACAATATGCACAGTATGGTCTTACTTTTCATTTTAAAAATATGTTTGCACAAAGTATCTGAATGGATGTGCTCCAACTGTTGCAGTGGTTGGGGGAAGGGTGACAAGAAAAGGGCTTTCGCTTCCGCTGGGCTGTTTTAAAATTCTTTACAGTGATTCTGTAAAAGGAAAAAAACAAAACAAATAAACAACCAGTAAGGATATTGCTAGTTAAAGAACTGCTGCTCTCCACACGCTCTAATGTCTCCGTCACGTACACACCAGTCAGGCTAAGAGCTCTTAGACAGAGAGAACGAAAACCACATATGGCCTTCCCAGGACTCCGCAGATGCCACAGCCCTCACCTCCCAATCCTACCCTGGGTGGGGCCAAGCCTCCACTGGGTGAGCCCTAATTCGCATTCTGACTGGGCCACAGACCCTTGACCCCTCGGCCGCATCTCGGGATCTCCTGGACTGTGCCCCGTGGAGGAGCTGGCCTCTGAAATCCTCTAGGGGAATAAACAATACATTCTTATGTAAGAGGGTTGGGCTGGTACCTTACACAGGGAAACTGGCCAAGTCCTGTTTCTGGAAAATTACTTAACTGTAAGCAATCTGGAAAAGTCCAGCACTAAGAAGTTAGGAGCTTCATGTGTAGTCAGGCCTAAAAGCCAAGGAACCAGCGTTTACTCCCATATAGTCTTGCAGATCCTTGAGGCTTAGGCCGCCCAGGCTGTGGGCAGACATGAAGGGACTTTGCTTGGCCCAAAAGGTCTGCGTCCTGCAGCTGGAGTACCCAGGACACTGTGAGCAGGACAACATTCCTTTTCTATAGATTAAGATCTTGAAGCTCAGAAAGGTGAAGTGGCTTAATGCAAAGTCACTCAGGAAATCATCCAGTTCTGGAGTATTTCCGTTTGGTTGGTTTGGTGCCCCCACCCCCATCTCTGTCCCTGTCCCTGTCCCTGCTTTGCATTTGGTAGATTTGAGACCTGGGAGTTGGAGGAAGCCTGGTTCTCCTTCCTAATCTCAGCTGAATCTGTTCATTCTCACTGTTACTGATAATCCCAGATATGTTCATTTGTCAGTCATTTCACACCAATGCCATCCTAGAATTCGTATAGGCAGGGGAGGGGCCACGGATGAGGAGGGTCACTCAGGGGCTTAATGGCAAAGCCCAGTCTCACCTAGATCATCTGATCCCTGATCTGGTGCCTTTGTCCTACCTGCTTGTTGCTGGGACTGGCCGGCCAGCAGCTGGCCAGCAGACTGTTTAGGACTGAACATAGAGCAGGGTGGAGCTTACACCTATAGGGGGAGAAGCCTTGCCCCATGCATGCCCTGAATGTCCGGGGGCCTGCACAGAGCTTTCTTGCTCCATTTCTTATTCTTTTCTGGCCGCCTGTGGGCCACCAGGGTGTCCAGCTACAGGCCCCCCAACATGACCTAAGGATTGGCCTGCCTATACCTCCTTCCGTTCCACCTGGCACCAACCCACAAATGCCCCCCCACCCCACCCACATTCCCTTTGAACTAATTAGAGGAGTCAACAGCTCAGCTTAGCTTAGCTTTAGCTGGTCAATCTCTCCAAAGACAGATATGCCTTATCCTATTGGCCATCCCTGGAGTCACAGCATATGCCCAGGCCATCGTGGCTCACAGATACTCTCATGGCCACGTCCCTCAGGGACGGGTGCTGGGAAGCTGGACTGAGATAAGCCTGTCCCTGGCTGTAGCCTCCTGCCTTCTGGCCCTGGCATTCCTGACCCTATTCCTCTCTTGAGGGGTGGAGGGCTCAGCCTTCCTGTAGCCGCTGGTGAGCCCTCCTGGGCTGCCAGCCCTCCTAGTGGCTGACTTGATTTCCCCACTGGGATGCTCAAGTGAATAAAGAGTAACCCTGTTGTACCCATCAACCCTCACTGCTCACTGTCAGGGGCAGGGGCAGAAAATAAACCAGGGCAGACTGGAGAAGAGGAACCAGCAAACTACTTCTCAGGCTTTGCCTGCCAGAAACACCACTGTGCCTTTCCTAGTTATGGTCAATGGTGATGGCCAGCACTTATGGAGCCCTTGTTACATGGCAACAGTGAATGAGCCACAGCAACTATACCTTCCTTCACACCTGCACGTCTTCTACAGGCTACCAAACGTTTCCACGGCAATGATCTCACAGGCTTCCCTTCACACCATGATGGGATGCTGTGATTCCCACATAACAGACAGTGAAACCCGAGGACCCCAGTGAAGGGACTTCTCAAAGACCACATATTCAGTGAGTAGCAGAAGGGGCACTTCAAGCCCAGTCCCTTCAATTTGGTGTTTAGTGCTTTTCCCACGCCATCCACACTACTTTGCAATCATCTCTTTCATTTCATCAACTCACATTTTTTTTTGAGTGCCTTGCGCTGTGCCTGGGGCAGTGGATATAGAAGCAAATCCAACAGAGTATTTGTCTTCAAACAGATCACTTCTAATAGAGGACAGAGACCAAGAAAGAAATAAAGGTAGCCAGGACGGTAAGGGCTCAGATATAGGTGTCTTAGTTATCTAGTGCTGCTATAATGGAAATACCACAAGTGGATGGCTTTAACAAAAAGAAATTTATTCTTTCACAGTCTAGTAGGCTGGAAGTCCAAATTCAGGCCACCAGCTCCAGGGGAAGGCTTTCTCTCTCTGTCAGCTCTGAGAGAAGGTCCTTGTCATCAATCTTCCCTTGGTCTAGGAGCTTCTCCGTGCAGGAACCCCAGGTCCAAAGGATGTGCTCTGTTCCCAGTGCTGCTTTCTTGGTGGTATGAGGTCCCCATCTCTCTCTCTGCTTGATTTTGTCTTTTATATCTCAAAAGAGATTGACTTAAGACACAATCTAATCTTGTAGATTGAGTCCTGCCTCATTAACATAACTACCACTAATCCCATCTATTTAATATCATAGAGATAGGATTTACACCACATAGGAAAATCATGTCAGATGACAAAATGGTGGACAATCACACCATACTGGGAATCATGGCCTAGCCAAATTGATACACATATTTTGGGGGGACACAATTCAATCCATGACAATGGGTATAGTAGTAAGACCAACATTTAAGTTCTTACTTTGTGGCAGGCACCATCCAAGAGCTTCACCTGTATTAAGTCATTTAACCCTCTGATATCTCTATGACATAATTACTGTTACCACCTCACTTCCCAGGGATGCTTAATATCTCATTCTAGTTAATAACTAGTAAGAGCTGGGACTTGAATCCAGGTCCTCAGGTGCCAGATCCTGCCAGAGTCAGGGCACAGAACTTTGCTAGGGCCCACTGCACAGAGGGTTGTGCCAGGGAGAAGACTGGAGGGCAAAAGGTGCAGGGCCTGTGTGCCAGGCAGGCAAGGGAGATCGTGGAGAAGTCACAGCCAGAGCTGTTAGTGGGCCGTGCTGGAGGTAGACAAGTGGTGGAGAAGGTGGGCTCAGCTTGGCCAGACCTGGCACCCTGGGCCTGGGACAGGGCCACCTCCTTGCACAAGTGCTATGGAACACATTGTGAACAGTGCCCCTGGATGTGCAGAAGCACCCGGGGGGTTCTGAGCCATTCCTCAAGGCTGCAGTGGAGGAGCTTGGATTGAGTCAGAACACTTGGGCTTCATATCTGGCCCCTTCCATTCAGATGACCTTGAATTAGTCTCTTACCCTGATTTCTTATTTGAACAATGGGGATTAGAAGCCCTGCTCTACTTGCCCCCACAGGGCTAGTGAGAAAAGTGCTCATAGCCCAGGAAGGGCCTTATCAGTGTAAACTGTGCTCTGATTTATTCCTGACCTAGGCATTAAGTGAGCACAGTGGTGTGTGTGGGCGTGTGGAAGAAAGCGGTGGGGAGTGGGGCATGGGGGCAGTGGGAGAGGAAGACATAGCCTCTAATCTTGGGAAGAAAGACTTATCAGGGGACAGAAAATAAGCTCATGAATCATGTGATACAGAAATGACTTTGGTCTCCATTAGCTACTTTGTGGAGAGTATGTTCACCCCCAATAATCCAGCTTGAATCCCAGCTCTGCCACTTCCTGACGATGTGACTTGGGACTTTGGAGCTACAGTGTCCTTATCTGTAAAACAAGGACAATAAAATCC